CTTCCAGTCCCACTCATATGCATGTCCACCCCATGCTAGAGTTATTCAGGGGCCCCCACCTCTTTCGTGTTATGAGGTGTGTGGATTGTGGTGCTGGTTATGTACTCACCTGGTTAGGCTCGCTTGGTTGTGCTTGCGGGGTTTGAACTTTGGCTCTTTGGTCCCACCTATATGGAAGGGCATGCAGGATAGTACCAGTGTAGAGCAGTGGTGCCATAGACATAATCGGGGAACACACTATAAACATCAGAGGTCTGCGGTTGTTAAACATCCTGCCTGCGAGCATAAGACATATTGCCGGTACATCCGTGGACATCTTCAAGAGAATACTAGCTTGTTTTCTAATAGAGATTTCTGACCAACCTGGCTGTGGTGGGTATGTGGGCCTGCGGGCCGCTCCAAGCAACAGCCTGGTGGACCAACCTCTCATAGGTCAAGCCTAGCCTCGGGCTGGGCTTGGGGAGTAAATGAACTCCCAGAACCCCATCAAGCAGGTATCGAGCAGGCATCTCCGCTGTCGGTCGCCTGTGCAGGTTGCTGGGCCTGCTGAGCTCTGTTGTGTCTCCGTTGGCCCTGTCTGGGGTCAGCCTGGAGTCTGCCTGCACCATTCTCTTCCTTCACAGAGACAAGTTGCCTCCTGCGTGTTGCGTGTGGTGCATGTAGCTGCTGCATGTATGCATTGGTGACATGTTTCGCGGTGGCGTGTCCTTGTTCCTGTGTCAGGTTGTGGTGTGACACTTTGCTGCTGTTTTGTGCCTGGGGTTTGCTTGTGTTATTTTTTGTGGTCTTCAGGTCCCTGGCTTGGCCCTTCTTTGTGCGTGGGGTTCTGTCCACGCCTGATTGTCCGCCCCTGGTTGTGTTTCCTGGGGTTTGAGCTTTGGCTCTTTCGTCCTGCCTCTCCCCTGTCCCTTCCCTGGCATCTCCTTTGCTCGGTTTTGCCTGCACTTGCTGCTGTATGGCGGGGGGGGTGGGGTCGGTTTCCGCCGGCTCCCTTCCTTGTGCTTTCCCTTTGTTTCCTCCTCTGCCGCAGGGGTTTTCTTTGTGCGTTCCTTTAGCTTGTGTCATATGGTGCGCTTATGTGTCTTGGTCTGTTTTCGTTGCTCGTACTCCTTGGTTCGGGCACTGGTCTGGTGGCAACCCTTACACCTTCTTTGGTTTTCCTGGCTTGCCCTGCCTGTCTGCTTTTCAGGGTCATGCGATGTCGGACCCGTCGTTTCTGATCTCCTAGCGGGCTATCTTCTTGAGGTTATCTTGAGATGATTTCAGGGCTTTAGTGCTGCTTTAGTGCTGCGCGGCCCGGTCCTCGACCAGGCCTCCACCCCCAGGAAGCAGCCCGTGACAGCTGACTAACACCCAGGTACCTATTTTACTGCTAGGTAACAGGGGCATAGGGTGAAAAAAACTCTGCCCATTGTTTCTCGCCGGTGCCTGGGATCGAACCCAGGACTACAGGATCACAAGTCCCGCGTGCTGTCCGCTTGGCCCGCATTGGGGAGCTTTCTTTTCGGCAGACATTCCATCTCCTTATTTGCCGGCTTGGGCTTCTTTGATGGTCGCGCCCGAGATCTTCCTGTGCTCGGATGAGACTTGTCGGGGCTAATTACGTTCTGCCTCGCGTGTCTTGCCTCCGGTTGGTGGTCTGGTGGCTTCATTGTTGGTGTCCCACCTGCATTCTTCTTCTTGGCGGCAGTATGGGGTATTTTGGCAGTCCTTCCTTTTCCTCCTGTCCCTTCTTAGGTAGCTGCGGTTGTTAGCGTCTGCTTGGTTTTTATGGTGGGGGTTGGAAGCCGTCATCAACACATACTGTCGCCTCGTTTCTTGCGGCACTGGCGAAGCCGCTTCGGCTTGCTTTCGATCTTGGTGTTGATTCTGCACCGTTAGTAAGCTGTCTCGTGCATTGTTTCACCTCCGGCCTGTTCGTGCGCCGCTTGCACCGACCTGGTCTCTGGTCAGAGTGCTCTGTCTTCTCCTCGGTTGGTGGTGCCCCTTCGGTTCAGGTTGGTTTCTCGACGGCTCTTTTTTTTTTCCTGTTCGCATTTGCCTCTGGGGGTCGGGTCGCTGGGCTTCTTGCTCTCCTCCACAGGTTTTCTGCTTCTTCAGTCTTAGCGTTTTGGTTGTTCGGTGGCAGCCGTCTCCATCTTTTCTGGCACAGGATGGGGCTGCTGTGTTCCGGAGGGGTCCTTGGTTTGTTGGTGCTTGGTTGGTCGGGCCGGGAGTGCGTCATGTGTTCAATGGCAGCCCTCCGCTGTTATTTGCGTGCCACGGCCTCTATGTCTGGGGCGCGCTTTGAGTTGATCTGGTTCCGTTCTTCCCTGTTCGCAGGTGAAGGTGTCCCGGGTTGTCCGCCATGTTATTGCAGCTATCCTACCTGTGTTTTTTCCCTATGCCTGTGGCGTTCGTGCTGCTCTTGCTGCAGTCTGGGCGGCGTGTCCTTGCTGTCGTTCGGGCATGGATCTTTTGGCGTTCATACAGGGGTCTAGCTACTCATTTTCTCGTGTTGTTCCCGGGCCCTTTCGGGGTTGTCGCCTTGGGTTGGTGTTAGCAGCCAGTTGTCTCGCTTTCGTTGAGGGGTGCGTGGTGACCGCCTCCCGGTTCTGTCCCTTTGACCTTCCTCTGTGGGTAGTTAGCTCGGGGAGCTGACGGGTCTCCCTTCAGAAAACCAGTGTTGAATGTAATGAAACCCCATTTTCTGGGTGAGACCCGGAGGCTCCCCGGCAGCCCTCCCTCCCTCAGGTCGACGGTTTTTCGCGTGTTTTGCCATCCAGCCTCAGAACTGACGGGTGGATAGCCGGTGTGAGAGGTCTGGGGTTCCCCCTTCCCCCTCCCAGGGAGGGGGGAGCTGCGCAGACAGCGGCGCGGTGACGTGTGACGTCATACTAGTTTGCTTGTTTTCTGTTGGGGAGTTCTATCCACTAGTTCGGCTTTTGGTTGCAATTTTAACCAGAATAGGGGTTTGTTTTGGAATGCTTACCTTTCTGGATGCTTGACCCTGTCGATGGCAAACATAAAATGCTTCCAACCACACGGGGGTTTCTATAGGCCATTGCTTCCCCTTGCCTCTCTTGAGGGGGCCAGGTTCTGGTCGTGGTCCCCGGTAGGCCCTAGAACTCCATACACATGACTGATGCCAAAGTCTGACATTAGCATATCAGCCTGATGTAGCTCTGGGGAGCCTCCGGGTCTCACCCAGAAAATGGTGTTTCATTACATTCAATGCTGGTTTTCTTCCCGCTTGATGAGTGTGTGTTAGCCATGGGTGCTACAATGAAACTGCTGTCCTGGGCAACTGCATGGTTACGGAAATCACAATAGCGTGATGCATCAAATGAACAAATCCGCAAGGGTCGTGACGAGGGTTCGAACCTACCTTCCGAGAGGATCCCAGACTCGCCTTAATCGACTGAGCTATGACATGGTAAAAGCATTGCAACCGGGAAATCAACTTGACCTTCCACGGATCCTGCAGTCTTTCCGAGACACAAACCAATGTTTTACACAATTCCCCCATGCACCCGAGCTTTGCCAATAAGCTATTCTACCTCTTCGCCCTTATTTCATTTGTTAATTTGATGCATCACGCTATTGTGATTTCTGTAACCATGCAGTTGCCCAGGGCCTCAGTTTGATTGTAGCAACCATGGCTAACACACTCATCCAGCTGGAAAAAGCTGCTGGCACACAGGAAGCAAGCAACCCAGGCCAAAATTATTTTCATTTTGTAAAAATGACCCCTCCAAAGATATCGTCTGTAAATATGTGGTACACTACCGGGGCGTCATCTCTGTGGGATCTGTCCCACAGAGATGCATAAAGTGCATAAAGCTTTATGCATGTACTACATGCATAAAGATGCCAGCAATAGCTACGCTACTGGGTGCTCCAATGGAAGTGCCCTTCGTCTGTCTATATGCCTTTATATCCTTCGAATTGAAGGAGGATATCCCTCATTACATGGAGTATGCCTTTCTCCAATAACTACCTCTGAGGCATTTTCCATACTCCTGCTTCTTGTAGTTGTTGTTTTAATCCTGTGTTTTCATCAAAAAAAGGTTGCTACCACTTTGGCTGCCCCCTTCTGTGATATGCTCGGGTAGAGCATATCTATTGATCATATCCACATCCATTGAGAAAAGGCAGGCTCCTCCTAGAACTGGACCTCTGATGCTGGCTATCTTGTTTAATAAGTCTGTTGTATCTTGAAGGCGTTTTGGTAGGAGTTGTAGGAGGTTGAGGAGGGCTGTACATATCCAATCAACTGGTGTGGTAGGTAGATCACAAATCTCTTGAGAGTTATTAGAGCAGTTAAAGAGTTAAGCACTGCACAGTTGTCTACAATTTTGAGTAGGTAGATTATGATGATGAATTCCAACTCTCCATCTCCATCAAAGCTAAATAATAAGAGGCAACTGTATCAGGTATAAAAACCAAACGACAAACAACTAAGACAAGGATACCAACAACTTAGTCACCTGTGCACTATACAAATGGTGATATACCGACATGAATAAACACCAGACGCATGTATTGAGGAAAACATTAAAGGCACGAGGTATATCTTCAGACCAATCTGCTGAAGGAAGAAGAGCTGTGGTAAAACACCCAGGTTCAGACAGCAGGCCAAACAAGCCAGAAACCTAGGCCAAGTCTGCCACCATGGATCCAGAAGTCACCCAGACCATGAAAATTTCTAACATGGAAAAATCTGGTTTTCAGTAGGCCATTAGGACTCTTATATGGTTGTAACTGTTAAATGGAACATCTACCTGAGTGAGATAGCTTGAAGCCACTGAGGCCCAACCACAGACATTTCATTGCATTCGACACTGGTTTTATATTTACTGTATGTCTTTCCTATTGATATGCACGATTTTTACAGGAACGTAATTTTCCGACAATCAAGGGATGCTTAATACTATTACGATATGTAATTGAGATACTTAAAAAATGTTCCTACTTTTAACTTGTTCATTAAAGATATTAATAAATATAACCTGTTACAGGAGTTAACTGCAGAGAAGTTGAGTTTATTAGCACAGCGAGAAAGTGAATCAAGAAAATTTAAATCGGATATGTCTCGTATGCAGGATGAAGTGAAGACTTTCCAGAGTAGAAATCAATCCTTAGAACTCAAGTGCGAACGATCCAATGACAGAGTCAACGAGCTTCAAGCCAAACTCGCTGAAGAACAGTGAGTGGTATTTATGCATTTTATAATATTCATAATCATTAGTTATAGAAAAAAATATTTTGAGAAATAATTGCCTAAACTTAATGGCTCAATCTTTTTTCAAGTGAGAATGGCAAGGAAACCATTTAACAAGCATCCCAGCATTGTATGTAACCAGATGCCCCTTTCTAGTTGAGCCCTGGTGGGCACTGGAAGCAATCTTGCTGAACTTATTGTTTGCCCTACTGGGAGCATAACTGGATACTTGGAGAGGGTTTTGAAAATTCCTTTACTCCCTGACCTTGGCCTTCTTCTTGAGGTTATCTTGAGATGATTTCGGGGCTTAGCATCCCCGCGGCCCGATCTTCGACCAGACCTCCTTTTTGTTACACCCCTTTTTCCCAGGAAGCAGCCCGTAGCAACTGTCTAACTCCCAGGTACCTATTTACTGCTAGGTAACAGGGGCATCAAGGTGAAAGAAACATTTTGCCCATTTGTCTCTGCTTCCACCGGGGATCGAACCCAGAACCTCAGGACTATGAATCTGAAGCACTGTCCACTCAGCTGTCAGGTGCCTGGCCTCAGGCCAGGCACTACTTGTGATAACTTAGTCTAACTAGATATTGCTTGGAGTGGCCCACAGGCCTACATAGCCACTAGAACCCGGTTGGCCCAGCACTTCTTTCCAGAACTTATTTATTTTTCTTGATGACTTCCTCCTTTTGTTTCAACAATATTTCTAATGCATGCTGGGAGAGTAGTGATCAACCATGGATCAATGAAATTCAAGCAGTGCTTTTTTATTGTGCCAAGCCACCTCTACTCCTCACTGGTTTTATTCAGCATTTCTTTCCCTAGTTTTTCAGTCTCTTTTATTGAAGAAATTTTCATGCTGGTTTTTGCATATGCAAACAAAGCTGTGATTAGTATTTTTATCTGTATCCGAGATAAGCAGGAGAGAGCAGTGGTGCAATGACTGTACCCTGGGGTACAGAACTTTTTACGTCACTTGCACTTGCTCTTATTTGTTATTTGATTTAGTTACTCTTTGCATTGTATTTGACAAAGTTGAAAATCCAGTGGCTTACTTTCACTTTATTCCTATTGATCTCATTTATGGGCTATCACTACATGGTCACACATACTATTGTCGGAGCAAGCACGGTACTATGGGAGACTAAGTTCTTCACGGTGGATGATTCAGATTTTTACTTTGTTGACTGTTACACTGTGGGTTGAAACAGTTAGAAAGTTATGGATCCATCTCCCTACTTTGCCAGTATTTCCTTTTGTGTGCAATAACACCATGGTCACATTTGTTGAAGGCTTTTGCAAAATATGTGTATATGACATCTGCATTTTGTTTTTCTTTTAATGCTTCTGTGATTTTTATTAATGGTTGAGTAACTGCAAAGTACAGGATCTTCCCCACTATAGATCCATATTGATTTGGGTTGTGAAGTTCATTGTGTTCCATAAAATTGGACATTTTCTGTGGAGAGCCCATTCGACTCCTCGAAGCTATACTAGACTGATGTGTATGTATTTGACTGTGGCAACTGTCATCAACGGAGTTCTAAGCCTACCGAGGACCAGCACCAGAACCTGACCCCCCCTCAAGAGAGGCACGAGGAGCAGTGGCCTATAGACACACTCATGTAATAGGAAGCAGTATATGTCTGCCATCTACCAAGTCAGGCACCCAGAAAGATGGGAATTCGAAAACAAACTACAGCTGGTTAAAATTTGCAAACCAAAAGCCAAACTAGCAAGCAGAACTCCCCAATCAAAAACAAGTAAACGAGCATGATGTCACCACAGCCGCTGCGCAGCTGTCTGCACAACTCTCCCCTCCCTTGGAGGAGGGGAGTGGGTCCCAGCCCTCTGGCACCAGCTACCCTACCTCAGTTCACAGGCTGAAGTGTAACGGATTGTGTTGGTGGCAGTTGATTGATTCTGTCTCCAACCTTTTGAACCGTACTGCATAGCGGTGTTTATGTTGTGTGTTGGTGGTAATTACCTAAGTGTAGTTACAGGATGAGAGCTATGCTCGTGGTGTCCCGTCTTCCCAGCACTCTTTGTCATATAACGCTTTGAAACTACTGACGGTCTTGGCCTCCACCACCTTCTCCCCTAACTTGTTCCAACCGTCTACCACTCTGTTTGCGAAAGTGAATTTTCTTATATTTCTTCGGCATCTGTGTTTAGCTAATTTATATCTATGACCTCTTGTTCTTAAAGTTCCAGGTCTCAGGAAATCTTCCCTATCGATTTTATCAATTCCTGTTACTATTTTGTATGTAGTGATCATATCGGCTCTTTTTCTTCTGTCTTCTAGTTTTGGCATATTTAATGCCTCTAACCTCTCCTCGTAGCTCTTGCCCTTCAGTTCTGGGAGCCACTTAGTAGCATGTCTTTGCACCTTTTCCAGTTGATGTGCTTCTTAAGATATGGGCACCACACAACTGCTGCATATTCTAGCTTTGGCCTAACAAAAGTCGTGAACAATTTCTTTAGTATATCGCCATCCATGTATTTAAAAGCAATTCTGAAGTTAGAAAGCGTGGCACAATCTTCGCACAATATTCTTTATGTGGTCTTCAGGTGATAGTTTTCTATCTAGAACCACCCCTAGATCTCTTTCTTTATCAGAATTCTTTAATGATTTCTCACATAATATATAGGTTGTGTGGGGTCTATATTCTCCTATTCCACATTCCATAACATGGCATTTATTAACATTAAATTCCATTTGCCAAGTGGCGCTCATGTACTTATTTTGTCCAGGTCATCTTGAAGGGCATGACAATCATCTAAGTTTCTTATCCTTCCTGTTATCTTAGCATCATCAGCAAACATGTTCATATAATTCTGTATACCAACTGGTAGATCATTTATGTAGATAATAAAATATCACTGGTGCAAGAACTGAACCCTGTGGTACTCCACTTGTGACATTTCTCCAATCCGATACATTGCCTCTGATCACAGCCCTCATTTTTCTATCAGTCAGAAAATTTTTCATCCATGTTAGAAGCGTACCTGTCACTCCTCCAATATTTTCCAGTTTCCAGAACAACCTCTTATGTGGAACTCTGTCGAAAGCCTTTTTTAGGTCCAGATAGATGCTGTCAACCCAACCATCTCTTTCCTGTAATATCTGTTGCTCAATCATAGAAACTGAGTAAATTCGATACACAGGATCTTCCAGATCAAAAACCATACTGTCTGTCTGATATTATATCATTTCTCTCCAGGTGTTCTACCCATTTAGATTTAATTATTTTTTCCAATATTTTGACTATTACACTTGTCAATGATACCGGTCTATAATTAAGGGGGTCTTCCCTGCTTCCACTTTTGTAGATTGGAACTATGTTAGCCTTTTTCCACACATCAGCTACAACTCCTGTAAACAGGGATGCCTGAAAAATCAGTTGAAGAGGAATGCTGAACTCAGGTGCACATTCTCTCAGAACCCATGGTGAAACTCCATCTGGACCAACTGCTTTGTTCTTATTTAGCTCCTTGAGCATTTTTTCCACTTCGTCTCTAGACACATCTATGTGCTCTATGTTGTTCTCTGGAATTCTTATTGTATCTGGTTCCCTGAAGATTTCGTTTTGTACAAACACACTTTGGAACTTTTCGTTTAATGTTTCACACATTTCCTTTTCATTTTCCGTGAATCTATTTCCCATTTTCAACCTCTGAATATTATCCTTTACCTGCAATTTGTTGTTTATGAATTTATAGAATAGACCTGGTTCTGTTTTACATTTGTCTGCAATCCCTTTTTCAAAATTTCTTTCTGCCTCTCTCCTCACTGCCGTGTAGTTGTTTCTCGCATCTTTGTATCGCTGGTATGTTTGGGGGTTCGGCCTCTTCCTGTATTGATTCCATTTTTGTGTCTTTTGGTCTCTGGCCCTCTCGCACTTTCTGCTGAACCAATCCTGTTTCCTAGTTCTGCTTCTCTGTTTTGGTATAAATTTTGTTGTGCCTTTTATCATATATTTCACAAAACCTGACATACATCTCATTCACTTCCTTGCCTAGCAACAAGTCTGTCCAATTATACTCACTAAAAAATTTTCTAAGGTTGCCATAATGTCCTTTCATAAAGTCAGGTTTTTCAATTGCATCGACTCATATTTTCTTCCAGATTATAACGCATTGCATACTTTATTCCCAAAAAGACATGGTCACTTTTACCCAAGGGAGGAAGGTACTGAATGTCAAATATTTCTTCCTCCTTCCTGGTAAATATCAAATCTAGCATGGAGGGAACGTCCCCTTTCCTCATCCTCGTAGCTTGTTTAACATGTTGATACAAGAATGTTTCCAGGATGAGGTCTACAAATTTACAGGTCCAGAAATCTTCTGTTTTAGCTTCACATGCTTCCCAGTCTATGGATTTCAAGTTGAAGTTGCCGACTATCAACAGTCGTGAACTATCGTTATCCGCTCTCACTATGATCTCTCTCATTATTGTTATAAGACCTTCTCGTTTACTATCTAGCTCCTCCTTTGACCATGTGCTGCTTAACGGTGGACTATATGCATTTATGATCATTAGTTTATCATCCTCATGGCAGATCTCTAGTGCTATTGTGTCAACTTCTTGTGGATTGGCAGTCACTATTTCGTTCACCTTTAGGTGTTCTTTCACCAGCACAGCAACGCCACCGCCTTTCCTGATTTTTCTGTCCCGTCTCCAAATTGAGTAGCCCCTTGGGAATATGTCCTCATTTAAAATAGCATCTTCAAGTTTTGTCTCCGTGAGTGCAACAATGTCTGGTGTCTGCAGCTGTATTATATCACTTAACTCCAGTATCTTTGATCATACTCCATCTATTTTGGTGTATGCAATCTTGAGGAACTTGTTCCCCCTCTTCTTATTTTTCACTCCCCCTTTCTCTAATGATTTTGTTGGTTTGCCTTTATGTACCACTTTACTGGCCTGCCTACCCCTATCACTTTGTAGAAAAAAGAATTGGTTTCTTCTTCATTCCTGCTCTCAT